ATCAGCCTTATTAAATCAGCCACTTTTAATTTAAAGGAAACACGTGTGTAGCACTTACTGCACACCAGGCACTGAGAGCGTCACCGGCATCAATCCATCTCATACCCCCAGTGGCCCCATCGTGGGTGTTACTGTCACCTCCTTTTGCAGATGAGGAAACTGAGGCACAGAAATGCTAACTGCCTTGCCCCAGGTCGCAGCTAGTGAAGGAAGGCTGGGGTGTGGATCCAGAGGCTCCCCCGGAGGTCTTGGGCTTACCCCCACGCAGTGCTGCCTGCTGCTGTTTGAGCTCCTGCCGGACGCCGGGCACTTTACAGGTGGAAGCTGTCAGACCGGGCCCGGCCAGCGTCGGCGCCCAGAGCTTTCTCACAGGGGACACAGATGATGGCAAAGGCCCTCCCTGAGCATCCTCTGGTCTTTGCCAGAAAGCAGGGAGGGGCGGCTAAAAGCCCTCGTTTGCTCACCAGAGGGAGAGGGGTGTCAGGCGGGGCTGTGCTATGGAGCTTTTCATGCTGATGGTCTTTAAAGCTACTACTGCGAACTAGTCACAGACGTCCGCAAGCAAATGACAGCTTTCTTTTTATTAGAAACTCTCCAAATGGTTAGTTCTAAATTCTTTTCTGGATTTAGGCTAGTAAATGGAGTCGTGGGTGGGTGTGGATGTGCTATACAGATTTTTTTTTTTAAAAGTATGTGTTTATTAACCTGCTCAGGGTGTGCGGCTGCTCCCTGGTGCCGGCGGGTGCCCTCTCTGCAGGCACGAGCCAGGTAGCATCTGATGGCACCCACTGTCACCCGGCGCCCGGCTCTGCCTGCTCCTGCTCGTGGAATCCTCAACAGAACAACACGGTGCCCNAGCATCTGATGGCACCCACTGTCACCCGGCGCCCGGCTCTGCCTGCTCCTGCTCGTGGAATCCTCAACAACAACACGGTGCCTGTGACTTTGTCTGTCGTGTCCGAGATTTAGAGAGGTTCAGTTATTGCCCAGTGATACCTCCAGGAAGTGGCGCTGCCAGGAGGTGACCCCAGGTGTTTGCCCACCCGTGGCCTTAGCTGAACTTGAGGCTATGAGTCACCTTGCGTGTGTTCCCCGGCTTCTCCTTTTGGTCGGGGTGACCTCGGGGAGGTGCAGCCTCCTGGGGGGAGCCGCAGTCCCAGACTCCTTCTGTGAGAAGCGGTGGAGAGGTAACTGTCTCCTGCTCAGCCTTCTAGTTCTTGCTCAACTGGTCTTCTAGAAACGAACTATATGGAAATATCACATACAGTAACATTTGTCGTTCTTTCTCCTAGGTCGCCTTGAACGTTCCCAATACCTACCATTACTTGATGCTGCTGACCAAGTCAGGATGGATTTAAACTCAGTAAGTGGTTAGCTGCCACCCTCCTGGAGGAGTGTGGAATGTTCCCCGTTCCCCCTGTTAGTTCCGGGGGTGTGTCGGCCAGCACTTTAAGAGCTGTTTGCCGGGACTGTGCGTGCTCTGTGGTGTGGGTCAAGGCCTTCTGTACATTGCAGGCGAGCAGGAGTCAGGGTGTGGCGGCTCAGCAGCTGCACAGCCTGGAGTCCCAGGGCTGTTGGCTGGGTGTGGGGGGATGTGGGTTCTCACCTGCGCCTCCTCTCTTCCTGCACTAAGGGTGGGGTGGGGCCGAGGACAGGCAGAGTGGGGACAGATGGGGGCAGGATGGTGCTAAGAGGAGGTAAGTCCAGGGAAGGGAAGCGTGTAGGATACATGGGCCCGCAGACTGTCATGTACCCCAGCTTCCTGGTACGCTGGGACAGGTCCTGACTAAATGGGACTCTGGGCTGGCTCTCTCTCTCCCTGGACACCGCCCCCCACTGGAGACAAATGCACTATCCTTGTTCGCTGTCATATCTCACAGGCTCATCTCATACCTGGAATAAGTGCATTTAGTAAAGAGTTGTGGTTAACAATTTTCTAGATCCTAAATCTGGAAAATAAACCCGTTGGCCTCCCCTCCCTTATTTGTTCCTGGGATATATTATTTTCCCTGGTCCATTTTAAATTTCAAATCCGCTGCCTGGGAATCTGCCAGGACGACCACCTGCGGACTTTCCTGGGTGGATGGCATGTTCTCAGATGCTTCCGATAGGGGCCGGACACGTGCTGCTGGTTTTACCTCCGGTGCCCATTTAGGTGCGAGATTACATCTCATTTCTCCTCCTGTCTGCTGCTTGGTTTAGATTTTTAACTTGAGACTCTTTAAGGAGAGTATTGGTGGGTTATTAAGTGGAGGTGAACTCCTGGAGCCTGCATGTGGCTCCTTTATAGTCATGCTTCCCTGGAGGCTCCGTTTAAAATTCTAAGCATTAAGTTGCCTCTGTTCAGAGTACAGGTCCTCTCTGAGATCACAATCAACAAGAAATAAAGAAGGGGAGAAATTAACGAGTGGGAAGAAAGTTTTCTGGGGGACCTTAGACGCTGATAGTTGGGCAACTGTGGCCTCCCAGGCAGCTGGTGACTGAGGGGTGCGGGCGTGGTGAGGAGCTAGGATGGCAGGGTCTAGAGTGGCCTGCGGGGGGGTGGGTCTTGAAGGGTGGGCTTGGAGAGGCAATATTTAAGGAGAAAGAGCAGAAGAGCTTTCTGAGAACACAGAAACCAGCCCAAGGCTGCAGCCCAGAATAAAATGCAATGGCTGGGGCAGTATTTTCCACTTTTGGGCCCAGAAATTCCACCCACAGGGACATAGCTACAGAAGTCCACACACTGTCTACAAAAATGCATGCTCTGTCTAAGGAAGATTTTTTAGGCAAAACTGTTAAACAGCCCCTAATTGTAAACCAGGTGCGTGCCTGTTGATAAGAGATGGTGAGTAAGGTACACTTTTATAAAAGAGGAGATACAAAGGGATTTGCAAAGAACATGCATAGGTGAGTTTCGTAACCTGTAGCTCACGGGCCTCTCTGTAAAATGGGTATATTTATAATTCTGGTATCGCTAGCTTATGACTTTGCACCCCATTCTCAAGGTGTTGATTCATTCCAGACTTCTACACTTCTCCTTAAAAAGTGAATGTGTGAAGGGGTCAAAAAGGCACAGACTTCCAGCTATACATCCTGGGATGCAACGTAAGCACAGTGACCGTAGTTAACACTGCCGCATCGCATATTTGACAGCTGTTAAAAAAATAGATCTTAAACGTTCTCATCAGAAGAAAAAAAATGTTTAACCATGTGTAGTGATGGACGTTAACTAGACTGATTGTGGTCATCTCAAAATTTGTACAAATATGGAATTATTATGTTCTACACCTGAAACGAAGATACTACTATATGTTAATTATATGTTAAAGAAATGCATAGTGAACAAACAAAACTAAAACCTGTTGACAATTCGTGAAAACTTGGTTAGCCTTTATTCTAGGTGAGCTCAGCCTTTGGCGTAATTATCGACACCCTGAAAGAATGTGGAGAACGCTTCCAGCGTCTGGGCCGGGGGCAGCGGGGTATTTGTTTAGCCCCCAGGGCCATCGGGGCTGCCCACATGCGTCTTCTTTCTCCCTGTGTAGGGGCTGCCGCCAGGCGTTGCACCTTACTACGAAAACCGTGGCTACCAGCCCGAAAGCCTGTACCCGCCGCGGCGGCCGGCGGCCGGCGCCTACTCGGTGTATCCAGCTCCCTACTACCCGCCCTCGGTGCCCCAGTACACCCCGAGGGTTCTGACGCACACCTCGACGCCCGGCGTCCTCACGCGGCCCAAGTCCCCGTCCAGGACACTGTGCACCTCAAGTAGGACCCTTTTTGGCATTTATTTCCTGCAGCGGAACCCAAGTTGGCGGTCTGCCCTCTCTAGTGGGCTCTCTGTTCCCATCAGCTCTGTGGCCAACTCTCCTGGGCTGCTGGGCTGGGCTGTTGAACATGCCTGTCCCCTAGCCTGCCCTTCCTTGTGTCAAAGCTCTCAGCTTCCAGGTGTCACCTCTTGCCCCGGGGCCTTTCTGAGTACAAGGGACATTCTTGGACTTAATGTACTTGTTTGCTTTAGCAACAGCCATAGGTGTTTCACATCGAATCACAAGGCATACACATCTCACAGTTAGGTTTTGGAAAATGGGGGTCAACAAGCCTGTGATGCGAACGGTTAGCATTAGAAACAGCAGGGCCAGCTCTGGCCGGTGTGGCGCAGTGGATTGAGCGTTGTCCCATGCACCAAGAGGTCATGAGTTCGATTCCCAGTCAGGGCACATGCCCAGGTTTCGGGCTTGATCCCCAATAGGGTGTGTGCAGGAGGCTGCCGATCGATGTTTCTCATCGATGTTTCTCTCTCTCTATCTCTCCCTTCCCCTCTCTCTCTAAAATCAATAAAAACATATTAAAAGAAAAAAAGGAAACAGTAGGGCTGAATCAACAAGAGGCTAAATTGATCACAATGAAGGTAAATGAGTAGTAAGTTCTAATTAAACTCAGCAACAGACACAGTTGTAAACCAGCATCAAGTCAAGTCTGGACCGAGCAGACTCTGATTACAAAATGCTTGTCCACCACAGGTGAAAACAGGGGTGCCCGCTGCCCACATGCTCCCGGTGAGAGCTGGGCAGATGGCCTGCCACACACTTGAGAGGTTAAGCCTACCTAACTTAACATTCCTTAACTCATCAGGCAAGGTGTTTTTTCTTAGATAAAATGACATACGTGGAAGTCGCCCAAAGGAAAAGATTATCCATGGCCAATGGGTAATACAGGCCATTTGGAATTTCCCCAGAGAGAGTGGCTTCTCTGATTCCACCTTGCCTGCCTAGGACACAGCCACTGTAGGCCAAGGTGTGATAGCATGGCGGGGTGGCGCTTGGCTCCCCTCAGGCCAGTGGCCTTGACCTCACCTGCAGGCCTGTCAGCGCTGCAAGCTCAGGCCTCCCTCTCCCCCATCTGAAGCAGAATGTCTGGTGGCGGGGCCACCCCCAGGAAACTGGTTACCAGGCTCCCCAGGTGATTGCTGAGCCTGTCGCAGCTTGGGAACAGACTGTGGAATTCGCAGAATGTGGTAACAAAACAAGAGGCGAGGCTCTGAACCCTAATCAACAGGTCAGCTCTGGTCTCTCCACTCCAGAAGCTGAACTTGGCTGGTTGACTCCCAGAAGCACAGGTGTGTACCTGAGGGCGCACCCGCCTTCCCACGCTGTCTCCCTCTCCCGCTGGTGTCCTGAATAAACTGCGGGGCTCGGAGGGTCCGTTTAAATGCCTTCTCCCCTCCCCCCTCCACCTTCCTTCCAAGGAAAGCTCCCAGGGGTACCTGGGCCTGAGGCCGCCCTCCACGTGGGAGTTGCTGGGGGTGAGGGTGTCTGGCGCTGTGCTCTAAACCTTTGGCGTACTCTCTGACCTACACGGCAGGTCAGTTTGTTTTGACTAGAGGACATTGGTTACCTTTTCCAGTCTGTCTTTTTGTTAATCCTTACCAGAGGGTATTTTTTCCATTGTTTTTTAAATTTTTTTAATTTTTAGAGAGAGTAGAAGGGAGGCCGGGAGAGGGAGAGAGAGAGGAGAGAGAGAGAGAGAAAAACATCTATGTGAGAGAGACACATCTGCATGGTTGCCTCCGGGGCTGGGGATCAAACCTGCAACCCAGGTTGACCGGAATTGAACCTGTGACCCTCCGGTGCACAGGCCGACGGTCTAACCACTTGAGCCACACTAGCCAGGGCCAAAGTCTTTATTCTTAGCTGAAAATGTCCCTGCTCTCAGACCAAACAGCGTATGTTAGCACTGCCCAGAACTTACCGCTGTGATAGCATGGTAGCCAGCGGTCACACGGACCACTAAGTACTGAATTTACATAAACTATTTACTAATTTACCACAATCAATTGAGCGCAAGTAGCCACATGTGGCTCGTGGCCGGCACAGGACAGTGTGGGTCTGTAGTGTCATTCACAAACAGCCTGGGGGAGACAGTTCTTCTGCCTTGAGTACCACTGACCTGGAGGTGACAGTCTGGGGGACATTGCTATTATTTTTCTTATTCTTGTAATTACTGAAACAAGATGCTTTTCCTCTTTCAGCCAGTTTTTACATGAATCGTTAATAATTTTAAGACCCTACTTTTTAAAAAGAGCCTAACTTTCTTGCATGCTGCTTTATATCCTGGCTGCTGTTTTAGCATGAAGTTTAGTGCTATGGAGACAATTAAGACCTCCCAGGACATGTCCTTAAAAGTCCCATTTTTTAAATGCATAAGACATTATTATTTCTTGATAAGCTATGTCATAAAAGTAGTGGGTGAAATTTGAGAGTGACTTTGAAACAACTTTGCAATAAATTGTACACTTGCTTCTTTTTCTCAGAGACAAAGAAAGCGCTGTGCGTCACCTTCGCCCTGGTGATTGTCCTCGCCGGAGGGGTGGTGGCCGCGCTCCTGCTTTGGAAGTTCAGTAAGTGTGGAGCCGCCCCTCTGATGCTGGAGAGGGTGGGATGGAGGCCAGGCGCTGGGTGCTCGGGCTGTCACGGTGTGCTGAGCGTTTGGTGGCCCTGCTCTCTGGGCAGGGGTCCCTTCCACAGCCCTTCCCGAAGTTTCCCTCTTGCAAAATGAGCTGTCGCCTCTTTCTGTTTCCCCGTGGCGATACGTGGCTGACCATTTTTGGAAGCAGGCAACCTCCTTGTCTGGGTTGCGTGCCTTTTCCTGATCTGGGTGGTCACAGTCCCCGTTCCGTTTGTGTGATGTTGACCCATGGTGGAGAAGCATTTCAAGTTTACCCAGCGGTTTGGGGCACTAGGTGCCACCTGGCACCCTGAGCACAGGTTCCCCGCCTCGGGGCCACGCCTGGCCTCCCGTATCTCAGAGCGCAGCAGTGGCGGCTGCAGGCCCAGCGTGCCCTCGCCCTGCCTTCAGGCCTTTTCCATCAGCCCAGGGCCCTGCAGATCCGTGGAGTCACCCGTGTGCAGAGAGGCCGTGGAGCCACCCCAAGGCTGGGGTGGCTCCCTCGGCTCTGAAAGCAGTGTGACTAGGAGCTCTGCGTTGCTGGCCTGTAGCCCTGTTTCCTTTTTTTTAAATATATTTTTAAAAATTTTTATTGATTGATTTGAGAGAGAGAAATATCGATCCGTTGTTCCACTTATTTATGCAGTCACCCGCTGAGTCTTGTATGTGCCCTGAGCAGGGATCAAGCCCGCAGCCTTGGCGTATCCAGATGACTCTCTCGCCAACTGAGCTCCCTGGCCTGGGCTGCTGGACTGTGGCCCTGTTTTCTTTGCTTTGTTGCAGCAAGGACATATCCCCTCCTTATTAAAACGAAGGGGAGAAGATTCTTTCCCTCTGTTATGTGGGGTGGGTGACAGGACTCTGGCGGGTGGGGGGCAGTTTCCTCGGTTCCTGAGTCTGACGGACGTCTCCCTCTGCAAGCGGAGAACAAGTGCAACGTGTCGGGGATGGAGTGCGGCTCCTCGGGGACCTGCGTCAGTGCCTCTCTCTGGTGCGACGGGATCCTGCACTGTCCCAGGGGGGAGGACGAGAACCAGTGTGGTGAGTGGGGATGGCTCACAGCTGGGGGTCGGGCACCAGGGTCCACCCTGTCCGGGGCATGCGGGGCAGGCCCGTGTCCAGCCCGTCGGTCCATTACGTCATGAGTCCCTACCTGGAACCTTGGGTTAACCCTGATTTTCAGATGAAGAGACAGGCTCAGAGAGGGTGTGCTCCTCACCTCTCACGGCACAGCGGTGGGAGGGACACGACAGGGCCGGTCACTGGGACGTCCCCACCCCCGTCTGCCACGGTGTCCCTCACGGCAGTGAAAACAAGCAACAGTTTAAGATGTAAAGTTGGTCGCACGCTCTGCATTTGTGGCTGTTGCAGGGAAAGTGATGCTTAAGTAATGTCACTGACACCCACCCCCAGAGTTAAAGGTTGTCCTCTGAGCCGATACCTTTTTGTACAGTTAATGCTGGGGGAAGACTGCACATCATGGTCATCTCCCTTCCCCTGCGGCCCTCCTCTCGAGCTTTCTCTTCCTGCACATCCTCGCTTCCACGCGAGACACCCGTGTGGCCTGCGTTGTCAGTCCTGGGGCCCTGGCTCCTGGATTTCTCCCTGAGGAAGCCTGGCCCCCCCCAGCCCGCCTCAGCCGCCCCCATAGTCACCTGTGTTCAGAGGTGAATGCCTCGTCTCTGTGCTGGGAGCATGCGTACATCAAAACACCAAGCGCCCGGCTGATGTGGCTCAGTGGTTGAGCGTCGACCATGAACCAGGAGGTGGCTGGTTCCCGTCCCAGTCAGGACGCCTGCCTGGGTTGCAGGCTCCATCCTCAGTAGGGGGCGTGCAGGAGAAAGCTAATCGACGCTGATGTTTCTCTCTTATCCATGTTCCTATCTCTCTCTCCCTCTCCTTTCCTCTCTCTCGAAAATCAATAAAATACATATTTAAAAAACAACAAAAACACCCAAACACCAAGTTGTACCCCTTAAGTATGTACAATTTTTATTTGTTCATTTTACCTCAGTAAAGCTGAAAAAAATGATACTGAAAGAAAAAAACAAAACTGCTTGAGACAAGCTCTGGCTCTCTGCTGCGCCAGCTGTCTCTTTTCCTGGCTAGCATTTGAGTGCGGATAGTTGGAAGGGGGAAAACATCCCCCAAATTATCTGCAAATCGAGAATGGAACTTCTCCCTCTTTCAACCACGTCTTTTTTTTTTTTTTAAATCCTCACAGGAGGCCATGCTCATTGATTTTAGAGAGAGAGGAAGGGAGAGAGAAAAACATCGGTCCCCCACGCCTGGCCTGTGCCCTGACTGCAAACAAACCCTATACCCCTGGGGCTCCGGATGACGCTCTAACCAACCGAGCCACCTGGTGTCAGTTTTACTTTTAGTTTTGGAAGTATATTTAATTCTGGCTACTTTTAAAAAATTGGTAGACTTTATTTTTTAGAGCAGGGTTCGGTGGACAGAAGCTGAGCGGAGAATAGAGCTCCATCCCCCCTCACAGGTGCCCCCGTTTCTAACCTCGCGTTGGTGTGGTGCATGCGTTACAGCGGAGGAGCCAATCCCGGTACCTTACCATTAACTAAAGTCCTGAGGTTCCAGTCGGGCTCACTCCCGATAATGTGGACAAATGCACAGTGTATTTACATTTGCACAGTGGGTTTGGACAAATGTATAATGACTTGTCTCCATCAGAGTCATTTCACTGCCCTGAACATCCTCTGTGCTCTGCCTGTTCATCCCCCCAAGCCCCTCCTCCAGGGCCAGGCAACCACTGAGCCTTTCGCTGGCCCCACGGTTTTGCACTTTCCAGAATGTCAAGCAGTTGGAATCATTCGTTACCTAGCTTTTCAGATTGGCTTCTTTCCCTCAGTAACAGGCCTTGGCGTTTCCCCCGTGTGTTTTCATGGCTTGACAGCTCATTTCTTTTTAGCCCTGAATAATCCGCTCCCCTAATGGGCGGCTAGCTCATGGGGGGCACGTGGAATCACCCGTCACGGGAACCCTGGGAAGTCACCAGGCCAAGGCTGGTGTTTCAGGAGGAATGCCAGTCAGTCTGTCCAGCAAGTCAGGGCCCCAGGGGGGAGGTGAGGATGAGTCCCGAGAATAGCTGGCCCCCCATTTTACACGTCGAGCCCACAGTCATTCCCCCAAACCCGAGAGCGCGGGTTTGAACGTCCCTCTGGGTAATCCGAGTCCCGTAGGGCTCCC